CCAGATGTTAAAAACTAAAACCCACCATGAACAATAGGAAATTCATATCAAAAGGCAAAAAAGAACAGCATTCTCAATTGGGTCCTTTAGAAACCAAAAAAAAAAAAAAAAGATAAACAACACCAAGTCACCAACAAAGTCACCTGCAATTGCAGTACCAGATCTCTGAAGCCCCTTATTCCACTTCACAGATTCCTCTGATGGATCAAGGCGGCGGCTGCAGCTTCTTCCTTGCAATATAAAAGCAAGGACTCAGATCTCGACTGGTGGAGATTTAAATGAATGGGGAGAGAATATGAAGAAGACACAGCTGGGTTTGCTAGTGTGAGAGACCCCACTTCTCCATCCGGGTTCGGTTAGTGGGTCCAAATTAATTAACAAATGGATCGCTTCCTCTACTCAATTTGCCTATATTTTTCCCTTTTTGTCTCCCAAATTTCCTCGGGGACACCCAGTAAAATAAAAAACCGGTCCTTTGCTTTTCAGTGTCACCGTCAAGGTCTCGAACTTCGTCTGCCGACGGAGGTAATTCATGATTATGTACATGTAAAAATGAGAAAATTCTCTCTATTTTTTTGGATTAAACGAAATCATTAATGAATATAGTTTTATGTCGCCATACCAAATGCTTAATCAAAGTTCGTTAAAAAGGAAAAGGGTGTTTGTATTTATCTAGAAAGAAATTATAAGAAATTTACAAGTGAAAACGAGTCATAGCTATGTGCATGGAGATGGAAACCATTTGGCCTGGCTAGAAGTACTTGTATAGAAATGTTTTTCTTTTCTTTTCTTTTTTCTCCATTTTAAGATTTTTTTTTATAACAGTCCATTCACAAAAATTATTTATTTATAGTCTCATTTGTGGAATTATTGATTCAAGAGAATTTTTTTTTTTTTGTAAAAATACTAAACCCTAAAAGATTTGGTAGATAATTTTTTTATTAAAAAATATTTTACAATAAAAATTATTTTAAACCGTAAAATATTACTCATTTTCTTATTATCCTACACTAAAATATCTTTTGTTTTTCATCCAAAGTTATTCCATATAAAATAACTTCATCGAGTCTAATTTTAGTTTTATCCATTTAAGATTATTGAAGAATTTATTTTAATTTAATACAACAATTAGTACTTATCTTTTTCTGCTTCTTTTTTTTTAAACAGAGTTACATTTGTGGGAGATGTGAGAATAAAAAGGACTTGAACTCAAATCTGATAAGAAACATAATGTGAGAAGCAAACAAATGTTATATTCGAAGCTTCTCTCAATTAGTACTTATCCTTTTATTTTTAAACAAAAGACATTAATCTTTTCTTTTTTTTTGAAATTGAAAATTTAGATGTTAATGATATGTTTGGTTTGAGTGCAAATGAGGGGAGATAAATCCTTTATTTTGCTTTTTTAATTCTTTCAATTCTTTCTTTTTCTTTTTTTGACCAGTGAAAAATTGAGAGAAGGGAAAATAGTTATAATATTGCTGCATTGGCAGCTTAAATCCTTGACAAAGAAGCCAAAGACATTGGTGCACTGCCATCGCAGTTAAGGTGCAAGTGCTAATTCTTTCAATTCTTTTAATGTATTTAAATGAGAGTATCATTCTATCTGTCTTCTCTCCTCTATTTTCTTAAATCCAACATACCCTAACACTCTTTATATGGTAGGACAACTAATTTGCACCAAATTTATTTAATAATGGGACAACTAGATGAAATTAAAAATAAAAGATAAAGGTAGTTTAATGATTAATTTGGCAACAAGGACAACTTGGTAAGGCACGATCCACTCCCAGAGTGAGTAGCAATATTGTTGATCAAATGTTCTTTAACTAATGGATTACTGGAGATTAGGTTACAAATTGGCCCCCACGTTTTTCAATACTTTACTCTTCAATTGTTGGGTTTGTTAAGGAAAGATAATCTAAAAGCAGCTGGGGAGTAGCCCGTGGTGTTCGCGTGGCCTAATGGATAAGGCGCTCGCCTCCGGAGCGGGAGACTGTGGGTTCGAGTCCCACCGTGAACGATTTTCGTTTCCTATTTCTTGTAATTATATGTGTCTTTTTTTTCATTAAAAAAAAAAATCATCTTTTGGGCATAACACAATCATTGGATTCACAAATAAATATAAAAATTATTGTGTCTCTGCTAAATTTATTAAAAAAAATTAAATAAAAAATATTTAAAATTATATTTTTTAATAAAATATTATAAAAAATATTAAAATAACTTCATTCTTATTTTTAAAATTAAGATGTTTTAATTTTTCTCAATAGATACTTATTAAATGATGTAGGTTTAGACTCTTTTTTTTCACTTAATTTTTTATAGGTACTGTTAATATACACTTTTTTATGTAAATAAATGTTGTTTTATAAGTTAAATATAATATTTAAGTTTAAGAGTTGATATTTAAAAAATTAATTTCTTTAAATATATTAGACAAATGTAAGGTTTCACTCTTAAAATTATTTTTAATAATTTTCATTAATATTTTTAAAATTATTGTAATAATAATAAAAAAGAAAACCTATAATTATAATATAAAACAACACCAAACAAAGGCGTTTGAGAGTGAATTTAGCTGGTTCCTAGATCTAGGAATTGTGATGTCTAGTATTCAAATACCAAAAAAAAAAAAAAATTGCCATTTACTGATACGATTATATACATAAAGGAAGTGCTTGTAAATTACCCTTTAAAAAAAAAAAGAGTAAAATAATAAAAAGACAAACATACCACAACTTCAAAATTAATTAATTTAGTATTACATAAAATCTTATATATACAATTTAACTCATATACACATAAACAATACGAGACAAACACCTACAACCTTATAAATTATCTTGAGGTACTATATTCTATAAATATATGGCCGACAAGGTAAGAATTAAGAATGGATAGTCCAGCACTTGGTGGCCCAATGATTCCCTCTACCGGGACGTACTTAGGATTAAAGAGTTTGGGATCAAATCCAAGCCCCCTTATCCCTTCTCCCAAAAAAAAAAAGAATGGATAGTTTTTTTTTTTCCTTTTTTCTTATATTGATTTGGTCTTGATTTCTAAATTTTTACAAAGTGAGAAACTCTCATTAGAAGCGTTTAATTAAAATTAGATTTTTTTAATTTATATTTTAAAAGTATAATAAATATATTTTTATTATAAATTTATATTAAAATAATAAAAAATTAACAATTAATTTATTAATTATCTAATTAAATTTATTTATATGACAATAATATTAAAACTAATATCATATTTTAGATTTTTGTTATTCAAATTTATAACAAAAAAAAAAAAACCATATTCTTTTGCTTCACATAAAAAAACCCATTAACATTTAACCACACAATAAACACATTAAAGAATAGTCGCAGGGTCTCATGTCCCTTTCTCTCTTTAAAAGTAATAAGGATGTTTCAACAAGAAGCAATCCCTAAAACTTTACAATGAATTCTGTGTGAGGGTATCAACAGGAGGTTTTAGAGATCCAATAAATCCAATTTGCTATAATAATCAATGTCATTTTTAATTGAATTAAAAGTTTCCTTTTTTTTATTTGTCCCAACAATTGAGATTGCTTAATAAACAAAACGAAGAGGAGAATTGGTCATGAATGAGTCCAGCAGATCTCTAAAACAAACGAAAGAAGGTTAAAGTTAAACCCTCAATTTTTTTCCTCAACTATTATAGGACTCTCTATTTGTTTTTTAATCTAAAAAATTTTTTAATTTGGTTTCTGAAACTATTACACGAATCTCAAATTTGTTTCCTACCGTTTACTTTGCCCCAAATTGATCATTTTGTAAAAAAAAAAATTTACCTTTTTTTTTTTTTATTGTAAAAAATAATAATTTAACGATAAAAAATAATAATTTAATCAAATTAGAGATTTAACCATGAAAAAATAGTTTTCATAATATGAATGTGAAGTTGCCCCTAATCATGGAAAAAGACAGGTTATAATTATTAATTAATTTGTAATTATTGATAACGTTTCTTTATTAAACCCATTTTATCTTAATTTTAAAAGTACACGTTGCAAGACTGGGAACTTATCTGGCTCAATGTCGGTGCCTTCAAATTTTGACGTTTGTATCAGTTTTCCAAGGAACAAGTGAGAAATTTTGTTATATTACGAAATACTTTTAAAATATTTTTAATTAATAAATAATGATATTTTAAAAATCCTGTTATTTTATTTTAATTGATAATTTTACTACTAATCAGAATATCTTTAAAAGTTTATTTTATTAAAAAAAAAGGGAAAAAAAAGCTAAAAATAATGATTATTTCAATTAATTAAATAAATAAAGTTGTTTACTTTTCTTTAACCAAATATACTTTTAAGTAAACTCAAAATAACAAAACAAAATTTATGTAGGAAATGAAAGGCTTTTGGTATAACCACTTCAAGAGTTGGTGGATTCATCTCTTCAAACTTTCTGTTTAGATTGTACCATAGGACTTAAACAATACAATTATTTTATTTTATTTTTCTATGATTACCTAATTTGAACAACCCAAAATTTGAAGGATTTATAACATTAAAAAAAAAAAAATCACATGCTAAATGAAGAAAACAAAAAATTTCTTGTTTCATAATTTTCTTCCTTCTCTCTGAGTTTGATCTTCCACCGCCGCAATTCCGGTCTGAAATTGCAGTCGCCAGAGCATTATCTTAGAGCAGTCCTCAGGAGGGATTCCCTCCAACTTTGTTTCATCTTCCAGAACTACTTGCTTTACAAATTTGAGTGAATTCTGTAGCAGAGGATGAAAAAAGGGGGAAAAAAAAATCCATTATGAATAAAAATTCTTATATCCACCAACTCAAGTTCGATTGCTACTTACTAACTTCAAATTTCTCATATCTTAATAAAGAAAAATGTGGTACCTGGGAGGTGCCTTGAACAGAAGATGAAGGCCTACCCCATCTCTCAGGGTCCCAAAGGATGGAACTATTGAATGCAAAATTGGAGATTTGAATTGGAAGCTTTCTCTCTGTATCTACATCTGCATTTCCCTCACTGTTTTCTTTCAGATGCCATCCAATGACCTGGGAGGAATCACACACAGGACCTTCTATTATTACGTTCTTCTCGTTGGCTGACAATACTGCCATAGGCCATGTTCCAAACATTCTGCATAAATATAGCAAAATTAAACACAGGCTATAAACAAATTAAGTAAATAGTGAATTCGGGTTTAGCTTAATACAGAATAATTAAAAATGGGTCGCCTTCAAGTTGAGACCTTTAAATCTAGATTGACCTATATAATCAAACATACGAAAGTACTGAAAACGTGAATTGATAAACACTTTCCTCTAATTCTATGTATGTCTACAGTTTAATATGATATGGATATGATTCGAACATGAATTGTTACTTCTAAATCCCTGATGACTAATTCGAATATTTGAGAAGTAATTTGGGGAAGATTAAGTAAAGGATGCATACTCAATTTCCCTAAGGTGGCTGAAGAAGTCAAGATCATAGACATTGGAAAGTCCGGCAAAATGAACAATTCCGCTCAGCCTGTGGTGCTCAATGTGCTTGAGTGCCACATTCCTCTGGTGATTCAACTCTGCTTCAGGGTCTGTGAAATTCTCCTTGAACACCAAATGCCTGTACATAATACCCGTCTTCCTTAGGATTTCCGACTGCTCATTGGACTCAGATTGCCGTTCCACCACCACCCACAACAACGGCGGAGGAACCAGCCTTATGGTGTTCGCCAACTTCCTCAACAGCACCCCCTGAAACCGGTCTTCGGCACTAGTCGGTGTGACAATGATTACGAGTTTTCTGCTTGTGATTTTGGATGATTCTTCTTTTCTTCTCTGCTGTTTTGATTCTTCTAATTCCTCAGACCTGACCAGAACTGGCACTGGAGTTTCAGCCAATGTTCTGTTAACATTACCAGAACGGGAATTTGCTTCCCCGGACGAAACCTCCACGGGTTGTGGCGTTGAGTGAGACTTGTTCGACGTAGCAAAAACAGGATTAGCGGAAAAGATCGAAGTTTTGCCAGTGGGAGCGAATCCGGTGAAAAACCCCATCACAAAACACAAAGAGAAGTGAACAACAGCTTTCTTCCATAACTGGACTTTCTTCTTTGATCTCTCCACCGACCCCATATCTCAAAACCCTCAAAAACAGCTGTCGGTAAATTGAATCCCAGGTGGAGAATCCGGTGATAGGATTACCACTACCTGGAACAGGCGTTTTTAGAAGAAAAAATAAGGAAGAATCTTATATTTGAAAGGATTAGTGTTTTCCATGAGGTAGGAGCTACTTAACTGGTGTTTGATTGCTACTTCCAAACTTGAAATGTGTTGTTTTTACTTGGTTGTTGTCCCTTTAAGTAAAAGAAATATAGATTATAAAACGAGCACCAAATGGTTGTTGAGATGGAACCCATCAACTGAATCCTTTGAAAAAACAATTCATACTATTTTATGGCAGTTGTCAGGATTTGTTTATGAGCTCGGAGTCGACCAATGTTGTGTGTTTTTTGGCTGAGCCTATATGTATGTAACACATGGGAAAACTCAGAAGAATGTCTTGGGGCTTAACTTAGGGGGAAATGGAAAACTAAATTTAAAGATCGAGCAGATACTAACGAGAATCTCCAGGGATGTGTGAAACAAAGTAGGGGGGTAAAGGAACATCTTTGCAAATTGAACTGGTACTTTCCCCTGGTTTTACCGTCTTGGTGGTGCAATGAAGCTTTAAGAAACAAAGCCATGTCAACAGAAAGAAGCTTCCACCATGTGAAAATGACAATTATGTCAGTGCAACGGCGGTCTGCTCCTCTAGCGAAAACCCTAAAAATAAGGGGGTGGGGATGCAGATCATACAAAACATAGACGAGTCATCATGAATGGGTCCATGCAGCTCCTGGATTTCTTGGGAGCAGAAGGGGATCGAGGGCATAGAGTTGGCACTAAACCACCAGAGGGCAAAACAAGGCATGATTCAAGCATGAGATAATCTCCACAAGCAATTAAGAAAACATAAAAAAGTGCGCCGAAAAGGAGATGATATAAGAACGAGAATTTAATGCGATTCAAAACTTCTTGCGTCCTGAACCACTTACAGAAAATATCAGTTTAGATTTTAGAAGCACTGAACAAGAAAAGTAAAACCAAAACAGAACATTAAACAAAAACCAATTTGTCCAATAGTAACACACTCAAGAACAGCCCTCATTTGCCACCCTTCTTGGCTGCAGACTTGGTCACCTTGGCACCAGATGGATCCTTCTTCTCAACATTCTTGATGACACCAACAGCAACAGTCTGGCGCATGTCCCTCACAGCAAAACGTCCAAGAGGTGGGTACTCTGAGAAGGTCTCCACGACCATGGGCTTGGTGGGAATCATCTTAACCATACCTGCATCACCATTCTTCAAGAATTTGGGCTCCTTCTCAAGCTCCTTACCAGATCGTCTGTCTATCTTGGTCAGCAGCTCAGCGAATTTCACGGCAATGTGAGAGGTGTGACAGTCAAGCACTGGGGCATATCCGTTACCAATCTGGCCAGGGTGGTTCATGATGATGACCTGAGAGGTGAAGTTGGCAGCCTCCTTGGCAGGATCATCCTTAGAGTTTGAAGCAACAAAACCTCGTTTCAGATCCTTCACGGCAACATTCTTCACGTTAAACCCAACATTGTCACCAGGGAGAGCCTCCTGGAGGGCTTCATGGTGCATCTCAACAGACTTAACTTCAGTGGTGAGACCAGATGGACCGAAGGTCACAACCATACCAGGCTTGAGGATACCAGTCTCAACACGACCAACAGGGACAGTTCCAATGCCACCAATCTTGTAGACATCCTGAAGTGGGAGACGAAGAGGCTTGTCTGAGGGTCTCTTGGGCTCCTGGATCAAGTCAAGAGCCTCAAGGAGGGTAGGACCCTTGTACCAGTCAAGGTTTGTAGACCTCTCAATCATGTTGTCACCCTCAAAACCAGAGATGGGGACAAATGGGATCTTGTCAGGATTGTAACCAACCTTCTTCAAGTAGGATGAGACTTCCTTAACAATTTCATCATACCTTGCCTTGGAGTATTTTGGAGTTGTGGCGTCCATCTGAATACAAAGGAACACAATAATTAGATCAAGCATTAATTTCAAACTTCAAAAGAGCAATTATGAGGTAAATAAATATGACATGATGTAAATCCAAAATCTAACCTTGTTGCAGCAGCAAATCATCTGCTTCACACCAAGAGTAAAGGCAAGCAAAGCATGCTCACGAGTCTGACCATCCTTGGAGATACCAGCTTCAAAACCACCAGTGGTGGAATCAATAATCAGAACAGCACAGTCAGCCTGTGAGGTACCAGTAATCATGTTCTTGATAAAGTCACGATGTCCAGGAGCATCAATGACAGTGCAGTAGTACTTGGTGGTCTCAAACTTCCAGAGAGCAATATCAATGGTGATACCACGCTCACGCTCAGCCTTAAGCTTGTCCAGCACCCAGGCATACTTGAATGACCTTTTGTTCATCTCAGCAGCCTCCTTCTCGAACCTCTCAATCACACGCTTGTCAATACCACCAAGCTTGTAGATCAAGTGACCAGTTGTGGTTGACTTGCCAGAGTCGACATGGCCAATGACCACAATGTTGATGTGAACCTTCTCCTTACCCATATTATAAAGTTTCTGAAAGAATCTGAAATCAATAACAAAATGTATCCATAAAGAAAAGAGGATACATCGGAATTAGTCAAGTAATTATCCATGTACAAAAACACTTATCCACATACAGCTTTTCATCATGGAAAATCAATGGTTAAAAATGAAATGATATGGAAAAAGGGCCAGACATAGTCTACAGCAAATTCAAAATCCTCAATCTTAGTTTTCACTTTGAACATCCACGACTTAAAATATAATCATGGTACAAGCATCTTTTTCTACAAGCCACAAGCTAAAAAATATCAATTATACGTGTGGCTGCTGGGATTCGAGCCCAGGTCTCCAAAAAAATGGAGTTCTTACCATTGAACTACAGCCACAAGAATCATGCAAATACTTTTTCCCATCAAGACATATAAGCCCCAGGATAACTGGTAAACTCATACCGTCTGTTTAACAGACAAGATCCGAAGGCCATATTTGCCTATAAAGATGGGATTTTTACCAAAAACGCTTTCGATTAGAGAAAAAGAATAACAACCCCATATTAAAACCATCAAGAAGAGATGATTAGATCCCCCAAATAAAAATCTAAAATTTTCATGAAAATAATCCAATAAATGATGAAACTCCAACCAAATGATCATGAAATGAGCGGTATCATCAGATCCAAAACCAGACAGCAAATCCCATCAAACTCAGACAAATATTCAAATCAAATCGTCAGCCCCAAAATAATCCACAAACATCACTGCAAATAAGAAAGTTTAAACTAAAGCAGACGAAGAGTTTACTAATCAAAGCGATCTAAGAACACAAAAACAAAGCAATGGAAGGAAAAAGATACCTGAAAGCTAAAATAGAGTTGAAATCGCTTGACCCAATAAGCTCTCTCACAGAGAAAGAAGGCAGCAAGCGGAGCGAAGGAGGGGTTGGAGCTACCTTTGCTTTAAGTAGTGGTGACTGAGGTTTTGCACCAATTAGGGTTTCTCCACCAGCCGTTAGATTTACTTAATTGGACGGTCCAAGAGAGAGAACAAGTATCAGCCGTATATTTTGAAATGTCAGCATTACCCTTATCAATTTTT